GCAACTTTTGAGCTTAATCCATCATAGGATGCATCTACACTATGGAATTAATGCAGTTAGATATTACTTTAACTGTTTAGCGAGGCACTAGCACCTTTTGGCAGAGAAATCATGAAGCTAAACAATAGCGTCAATGACTTATGGTTCATCAAGCTAAAGCTAAATCATAGAAAGTCTATTACGCTGAAACTAAATCAGATCTCTTAAAGCTCAAAAGTCCATCAGGCTGAAACTGAATCATATCTGCAAATAACTCTAAACTCCACTAAGGGCCCTTCCACACAGCCATACAACCGAAAGTATCAAGGCAGATAATCCACAATATCTGCTTTAAAGTGGGTTATCTGAGTCCACACTACCATATAATCCAGTTCAGTGTGGATTTTATACAGCTGTGTACAAGCAGTCTAAACTGAAAATTCAAGGACTCAACAGTCCCTCCAGGCTAAAACTCAATCACAGGCCCAGGAACTTTGAAACCCATTGGGAAGAAGCTTCAATGGCTCAACAGTCCATCAAGTTTGAAACTAAACAATAGCTTCAAGAACTAAGACATACACCCAATGGATTATAAAGCCCATGAGGCTGAATCATAGCCTCAAAAGTCTACCAGGCTGAAAAGAAATAACAGCTGTAGTGTCTCTTAAGGTTCATCAGGCAGAAAGTAAACCATAGTCCCAAGACCTAGAAGGCCTATAAGACTGAAACTAAATCAAGGACTCTACAGTCCATTGGGCAGAAGCTCCAAGGGCTCTAAAGTCCACCAGGTTGAAACTGAATCATAGCTTCAAGAACTAAGACATAGGCCCAAAGGCCTATCAGGCTGAAAGTACACCATGGGCCCAGGGTTCCAAGCAATGCATCACATGAACACTTCAAGGTCTTCAAAGTCCATCAGGCAGAAATCCATTGGGCTTGTAACTAAACCATAGCTTCAAGAACTAAAAGGCAAATACTCTAAAATTCCAGTTCAAAGCAGATAATGTGAGATTTTATACAGCTATGCGGAAAGGGCCACAGTTCAAAGCACATCTTGTATTCTCTGCCTTGATATTCTGGGTTCTATGGCTGTGAGGATAGGGCCCTAAGATTCATTAGGCTAAGACTAAACCAGGCACGGGCAAAGCCTCATACCTTTGAAGACTCCAAACTCCCTCAGGCTGAAGCAAAACCCAGGCCCAGGAACTCTATAGATCAGGCATGGGCCAACTTGGGCCAACCAGATGTTTGGGACTACAACTCACACCACTCCTAACAGCATATAGGAGTGTTTCTCAAGCTGGAGGTCAGGAGCCCTTGGGGGTCATGAGGGGGTTTCAGAGGGGTCACAAAAGACCAGCGGAAAATATATATTTCTGATGGTCTTAGGAACCCCTTTGGCAGAGAAGGCTGGAGATCTCTCCGCCTGTCCTTCTCCTCCTTTTTGGAAACAGATGGTGAATCCTCCCACCAAAAGCCCTTCTCCACTGTGATTGGCCAGCCTCTCAGCCAAGGGGAGAACTATTTATGAAACTTCAAGTGAGGGAGGGGTGAGCAGGTGTGCTGAGCATATGACAGCGTGCGGGGTGAGGGAGAGTGTGGAGGGAGGCTCACGCCAGCGAGTCCCTTCAAGTCATGATGGTTCTGTGTGGGAAGTTTGGCCCAATTTGTTGGTGGAGTTCAGAATGCCCTTTGATTGTAGGTGAACAATCAACTACAACCCCCCAAGTGTCAAGGTCTATTTTCCCCAAACTCCACCAGTGTTCACATAGAGTATTCGTGCCAATATATTTGGTCCAGATCCATCATTGTTTGAGTCCACAGTGTTCTCCGGGTGTATGTGAACTCACACCAAACTCAAGGTCAATGACCACCAAACACATCCAGTATTTTCTGTTGGTCACGGGAGTTCTGTGTGACAAGTTTGGTTCAATTCCATTGTTGGAATCTATCTGTTGGATTGATCCCCCCATATCACTTTTTAAATCACATGCCTAGACATACCCTACTCTGTACACGCCCAGGGTTTTAAAATTTTAATCTACATCTGGCCCTGCCATAATGTTTTTAAATTTTTTGTGTGTTATTGCTTATATGTTCAATTGTATTATTTATATTGTTTTATTTGCTTGCTTGTTTGTTGATGTATTGTTGTATTTGTATTTAAACGGGCTTAGCCTCGTGTTAGTTGCCCTGAGCTCCTTCGGGGAGATGGTGGCGGGGTATAAATAAAGTTTATTATTATTATTATTATTATTGGTGGGATTCAGAATGCTCTTTTTTGGTGAACTACAAATCTCATTAACTACAACTCCCAAGTGACAAAATCAATCCCACCCCCCACCCCCACCAGTTTTCAACTGTGAGTGTATCAGGTATTTGTTACAGGAGGGATAAGGAACTGATATAATTAAATTATATTATTTTAATTAGCCATCCCTTGCCAGGCGTTGCTGTGGCCCAGTCTAGTGATCTGGAAAAAAAAGTAATTCGAAAGTGTTGGTTTCTAATATATGTAATTTCTTTATGCTTGTGGGTAAACAGTATTTCTTGTTGTTTCTTTGTCAGTGTTGATGTGGAGATTGTCTGGTTTGCCTACTCTGGAACATGCAACAAATTATTGTCCTTCTTTAGGGGTCTCTTTCAAATCTATGATACTATGTGTGTGTGAATCATATTTATCTATATCTCTGGCTGGATGGCTCTTTGTCAGGAGGGCTTTGATTACCGCCCTGGTGAAGGGAGTTGGACTGGATGGCCTTAAGTATTTTCTGTTGATCATGAGGGTTCTGTGTGGGAAGTTCCCCCAATTCTGTCATTGGTGGGGTTCAGAATGCTTTTTGGTTGTAGGTGAACTATAAATCCCAGCAACTTCAACTTCCAAATGTCAAGGTCTATTTCCCCCATACTCCATCTGTGTTCATATTTGGGCATATGGAATATTCGTGCCAAGTTTGGTCCAGATCCATCATTGTCTGGCATGACTTGTTTTTGATAGGTGAACTACAACTTCCAAACTCAAGGTCAATGCCCACCACACCCTTCTGGTGTTTTCTGTTGGTCATGGGAGTCCTGTATGGCCCGTTTGGTTCAATTCTATCATGCTATTTTTGATTGTACGTGAACTATAAATCCCAGCAACTACAACCCCCAAAAGACAAAATGAATTTTTTGAGTGAAGGGCATACATTGGGTTGTTAGGTGTATGCTGTCCAAATTTGATGTCAATTCGTCCAGTGGTTTTTGAGTTATGTTAATCCTACAAACAAACATTACATTTTTATTTATATAGACTAGCCGTCCCCTGCCACGTGTTGCTGTGGCCCAGTCTGTATTTTGTGTGTGGATATGTTTGTGTGTATATATTTGTGTATTTGTGTGTTTATATGTGTACATGTATATTGTGTATATATGTGTGCTTGTCTATATGCATATTTGTATATGTATATATATATATATATATGTGGATATGTATGTGTGTGCATGTGTATATGTATATATGTATGTGTGCACGTGTATGCACATGTGTATATGCGTGTATGTATATGTGTATGTGTATATTTGTGTGTGTTTGTGCATATGTATACGTGTTTGTGTATGAATCTGTGCAAGTGTATGTGTATATGTATATATGGTGTATTTTGGGGGGTTTTAAGTATGTTTCGCTGGGGTTTTGTGTGTGTGCGTGTGTCAACCATCCTGTTCAAGAAGCTCCACTGGCTGGTTTATTTTCCGAGCCCAATTTAAGGTGCAGGTGCTTACCTACAAAGCCCTAAACGGTTTGGGACCATCCTACCTGCGTGACCACATCTCTGTTTATGAACCCACGCACTCACTTCGTTCATCCGGAGAGGCCCTGCTCGTGATTCCGCCTGCGTCACAGGCGCGTTTGGTGGGGACGCGAGACAGGGCCTTTTCTGTGGTGGCCCCCCGACTCTGGAACACCCTCCCAAAGATCTTAGAGAGGCTCCTACACTGGCAGTCTTTAGAAAGAACTTGAAGACCTGGCTGTTCCGATGTGCCTTTCCAGAATAGGAATCTCCAATAACAAGTCCCAGAAGCACTTTATTAGAACTAAGATTGCTGCACATGGCACACTGCACCTACCCTATAATCCTTACATATCACCTGTCACATCAGCACTTTTAACCTTGTACCCATTACTCTGGTCCAGCCCAGTTTTATTGTGTCTTGATGTATTGTTTATTGCTTGTTGTTTAATATTGCTTTAGCTGTTTTTAATTTGTTTTAGGTGTTGTATTGTTATGTTGTGTTTTGAGGCCTTGGCCTTTGTAAGCCGCATCGAGTCCTTAGGGAGATGCTAGCGGGGTACAAATAAAGTTAATAATTATTATTATTATGGGTGATGGACACTCGTTGGACTGTTAGGTGTATTGCGTCCAAATTTCGTGTCAATTTGTCCAGTGGTTTTTGAGTTACGTTAATCCCACAAATGGACATTACACTTTTATTTATATAGATTCATAACCTTAGCAAAGTTACAGTTGTGATATAGCAACGAAAATGATGTTATGGTTGGGAATCACCATGAACTGTATTAGGAAGCTGGAGAAGCACTGGCCTATAGCTATAGATTCAGGCCTGGGCCAGCTTGGGCCCTCCAGGCGTTTTGGACTCCAACTCCCATCATTCCTGACAGCCAGATTCAGGCCTGGGCCAACTTGGGCCCTCCAGGTGCTTTGGACTCCAACTCCCATCATTCCTGACAGCCAGATTCAGGCCTGGGCCAACTTGGGCCCTCCAGGTGTTTTGGACTCCAACTCCCATCATTCCTGACAGTCTACCGGCTGTCAGGAATGATGGGAGTTAGAGTCCAAAACACCTGGAGGGCCCAAGTTGACCCAGGCCTGAATCTATAGCTATAGGTCAGTGCTTCTCAACCTTCCATTCCTGACAGCCTACCGACTGTCAGGAATGGTGGTAGTTGAAGTCCAAAACACCTGGAGGTTGGGCCGAAGCTGGCCCAGCCCTGGGAGAACCCCTGAGTGGGGCTGGCTCACCCGAAGGTGCGGGGCGGGGGCGTTGGCGGCGGCGAGGGCGGCGAGCAGGTCCCGGCGCAGCGTGAGCAGGAAGCGGAGCCCGCCCTCCCCGTGTCGGCCCAGGAGGAGGAAGAGGCCCTGGTAGCGCGGCGCGAGGAGGCGGCGGAGGCGGCCCTCGGCCTGGAGGAGCGCCCCGGGCTCGGCCTTCTCCGCCCCGGCCTGGAGCCGTGCCACCTCCGCGCAGACCTCGGCCACACGCCCGTGCTCCACGCCGAAATCCCTGGCCAGGCGGCCCAGCAGCTCGGCCCGCGCTTCCCCGGCTTGCAGGGCGCCGTAGCTGCGCATGAACTCCGTGCCCTGCCCCTCCACGGCGCGGCGAAAGGCCTCGTCCATCCCGGCTAGGCCGCAGTCGGAGGCCTCGGTTGCCACGGCGACGGAGCTAGGCCGCAACCGGCCGGAAGGGCCTCGCGCAAAGAAGCGGAAGAGCTGCTGCTGCTGCGCTACCCTCGAGAGAGAGCCCAAGCCGCGCATGCTAAAGGTTCCCGTGTCTCTCTGTCTGTCTCTTTCTCTTCACTATCTTCTTTGAAAGGGTAAAAAAAAAAAACCAAACAGAGAAGCTCATTGGTCCACGTTAACCGGCAATGTCAAACCCTGCCCAATAGGAACAAAGAGTGGGCGGGACCCTTACTCGTCCTCCATCTTGAGTGTGGCGGAAAAAACACAAGCTCATTGGTCACTTAACCGACAATATCAAGCCCTACCCAATGGGAATAGAGAAGGAGCTGGGTCCTGCTAGTCCTCCCTTTTGGGTGTGGCGGAAACTCTTGGCGCCCTCGTCAAAGCATCTCCCAACAAGCTGAGAGTGGCTGAAAGGACTTGGTCTTTATGATCCTGGTTCGGCCAGTTAGCCCCGCCCACAGCCCCGCCCACTTCTCACCAAATTTGGCAACAAAACCATCACTCAAAAAATTATGCTTTTGTCATTTAGGAGTTGTAGTTGCTGGGATCTATAGTTCATCTACAATCAAAGAGCATTCTGAACCCCACCAATGATGGAATTGAACCAAACGTGGCACACAGAACTCCCATGACCAACAGAAAAGACTGGAAGGGTTTGGTGGGCATTGACCTTGAGTTTGGGAGTTGTAGTTCACCTCCTTCCAGAGAGCACTGTGGACTCAAACAATGATGGATCTGGACCAAACTTGGCACAAGTATTCCATATCTCCAAATATGAACACAGATGGAGTTTGGGGAAAATAGACCTTGATATTTGGGAGTTGTAATCACTGGGATTCACAGTTGATCATAATACATTGTGGCAAGTTCTTGGTGGGATGGGCATCCCAAGCCCCCTTCCCTCTCTCCTGAGGAATCTGTACAAGGACCAAGTAGCAACAGTCAGAACTGACCACGGAACAACAGACTGGTTCAAGATTGGGAAAGGCGTACGGCAAGGCTGCATACTCTCACCCAACCTTTTTAACTTGTATGCAGAACACATCATGCGATGTGCGGGGCTTGAGGAATGCAAAGCTGGGGTGAAAATTGGTGGAAGAAACATTAACAACCTCAGATATGCAGATGACACCACTCTGATGGCCGAAAGCGAGGAGGAGCTGAGGAGCCTTCTAATCAAGGTGAAAGAAGAAAGTGCAAAAGCTGGGTTGCAGCTAAACATAAAAAAACCCAAGATTATGGCAACAAGAATGATTGACAACTGGGAAATAGAGGGAGAAAACGTGGAGGCAGTGACAGACTTTGTATTTCTAGGTGCAAAGATTACTGCAGATGCAGACTGTGGCCAGGAAATCAGAAGACGCTTACTTCTTGGGAGGAGAGCAATGTCCAGTCTCGATAAAATAATAAAGGTAGAGACATCAGACTGGCAACAAAGATCCGCCTAGTCAAAGCCATGGTATTCCCTGTAGTAACCTACGGATGTGAGAGCTGGACCTTAGGGAAGGCTGACCGAAGGAAGATAGATGCTTTTCATTTGGGGATTGTAGTTGCTGAGATTTATAGTTTACCTACAATCAAAGAGCATTCTGAACTCCACCAATGATGGAATTGAACCAAACGTGGCACACAGCACTCCCATGACCAACAGAAAAGACTAGAAGGGTTTGGTGGGCATTGACCTTGAGTTTGGGAGTTGTAGTTCCCCTACATCCAGAGACCACTGTGGACTCAAACAATTATGGATCTGGACCAAACTTGGCACAAATATTCTATATGCCCAAATATGAACACAGATGGAGTTTGGGGGAATAGACCTTGATATTTGGGAGTTGTAGTTACTGGGATTTATAGTTCACCTACAATCAAAGAGCATTCCGAACCCCACAAAGGACAGAATTGGGGCAAATTTCCCATGCTGAACCCCCATGACCAACAGAAAATACTTAAGGCCATCCATTCCAACTCTCTTCGCCAGGGCAAGAAAATCTAATCAAAGCCCTCCTGACAAAGAGCCATCCAGCCATAGATATAGATAGATATATATATGATTCACACACAGAGAGATATAGTATCATAGATTTGAAAGGGACCCTTACAGAAGGACAATGATATCTTGCATGTTTCAGGGTGGGCAAACCAGACACTCTCCACATCAACACTGACAAAGAAACAGCAAGAAAACTGTTTACCCACTAGCAACACTTTCTCATTACTTTATTTTCCAGATCAATAGACTGGGCCACAGGGGCAGGGGACAGCTAGTCTATATAAATAAAAATGTAATGTTCGTTTGTGGGATTAGCATAACTCAAAAACCACTGGACGAATTGACACCAAATTTGGACACATTGCACCTATCAGGACAAGTGACCATTACTCATTAAAACACTGAAAAACACAGCAGAAGAGACTTAAAAAGCCAAAACACAAAAAATACATTACAACACATGCACAGTACCATAACATAAATTGGTCTGTAGTTGTTACATACAGTTGGGTCAAGGGTGGTCTTTTTTAACAGAGGTTTTACCACCGCCTGCTTAAGATAGGTCGGGAATTTACCCTGGCCCAATGAGGCGTTTATTATTGCCACAAACAATTCCAGCTTCACTAACCAGAAAGAGCAAGGATCCAGAGCACAAGTGGTCGCCCTCACAGACCCAAGAATCCCCTCCACGTCATCAGGAAGAACAAGCCGGAAAGAATCCCATAAGATCGAACAGACATAGTTAATCCCTGCAGTTTATTGGATGGAACGTTGAAGCTATTCATGTGTCCAATTGTCTAATTGACGTTTCTCTTTGTTCTGTCTTCCCATCTCCATCCTTTGTACCTCCCTTTCCAAAGGTTAAAGCTCTCTTCCTAGGTTCTAGACCCAATTAATGCCCTCTGGTCAGATCTCAGATTTTTAAAGACATCAGTAATTTGGCATCAGCCTTTTCCTTCCAAACACATAACGAGCAGCTGAATTAACAGTGCAATACAATGGGGACAAAAACCTGTCAGCACATTAGCTTTCTCTGAGGATAAATGACTCTGGAAATCAAAGCGCTTTATGACAAGAGGCCTGGTGCGGAGTCATAATCGCTTTCAGGAGTGGGCTTGGTGCATTGTCTGCTCCTAACCTTAACTCCAACCTTTGGGCTCCCATTTTCCCATCCACTTGACTCTTGCAAATTGGAAATGCCATGGCTAAATTAGGCTGCAGAGAGACGCACGTGGCAGCTTTCTTTGGGCGTCATTTAATAGGAAGGAGGCACTATTGTCCCTCTGATCTTCGGCAGGGAGTAGGACTGGATGGCCTTTGAGGTCCCTTCCAACATAGGATTCTATGATGCTATCTGTTCCTCTTTTCAATTGAAAATTTGCTTCTCTGCTATGCACACAACTATCGGCTGTCCCAATTTGGCATGGAGATTCCTGATTTATACTTTGCCTTTCCACCTTTTCAGCTGTTTTTGAAGAGTCCCAATTTCTCCTCTTTTATCCTCAGATGAATCCAGTCACTGCAAACTGAGCTTAGAAATGAAAACATTTGCAGCAAGTGAGAGAACAGAAGAACAGGGGAAAGAATGGCTGGAGCTATACCCCATTATGTTCATTCTTACTGTGTTGAACTGTGTTATATGAGTCTACACTGACCATATAATGCAGACTATTGGACCTATATCAGGGGTCCTCAAACTTCTTAAACAGAGAGCCAGCTCACAGTCCCTCAAATTGTTGGAGGGCCAGACTATAATTTGAATAAGAAAAAACATGAATTGATTCCTATGCACACTGCACATATCTTATTTGTAGTGCAAAACACTTTAAAACAATACAATAATTAAAATGAAGAACAATTTTAACAAATATAAAATTATTTGTATTTTAATCGGACATGTGGGCCTGCTTTTAGCTGATGAGATAGTATTGTTGTTGTTGTGCTTTCATGTCATTTCAGACTTAGGTTGACCTTGAGCGAAGGCCAGGTAAATGACCTTGAAGGGCCGTATCTGGCCCTCGGGCCTTAGTTTGAGAACACCTGACCTATATAATAGGCTCCGCAAAAAGAAATTATTTCAGTCTCTCCTGGTTTGTAGTGACTGATTGACCTTGAAGGAGCTGGGGGTGGCGATGGCCAACAGGGAGCTCTGGTGTGGGGTCACGAAGAGTCGGGAACGACTGAACGAATAAACAACAACAACAACTCTTGGTTTGTATGTGCATCCTCATATCCACATGAACATAAAAAGCCATTTGGAGGTGCTAAGGGTGCATCTACACTGTAAAAGTAATCCAGTCTGATGCCACTTTTACTGTCACAGCTCAATGCTATGGAATCATGGAAACTGTAGCTTTACAAGTTCTTTCAGCTTTCCTGCTGATGCCTCGCCCAACTACAACCCCCATTATTCCAAAGCATTGAGCCATGGCAGCTAAAGTGGTGTCAAACCGCATTAACTCAACAGTGTAGACCCATCCTAAGTGTAGCTGAGGCTCTTCTTCCAAGCAGTGCTGCACTTCTAAGGTCCATTTTCCCCCAATCTCCATCTGTCCATATTTGGGCATATGAAATATGGAATATTCGTGACAAGTTTGGTTTTGATCCTTCATTGTTTGAGTCCACAGTGCTCTCTGGATGTAGGTGAACTACAACTCCCAAACTCAAGGTCAATGCCCATCAAACCCTTCTAGTGTTTTCTGTTGGTCATGGGAGTCCTGTGTGCCACGTTTGGTTCAATTCCATCGTTGGTGGAGTTCAGAATGCAGGTGAACTATAAATCCCGGAAATACAACTCCCAAATGACAAAATCATTTATTTTTTTTAGTGATGGTCACTCCTTGGGTTAGTAGGTGTCTTGTAGCCAAATTTGGCGGCAATTTGCCCAGTGGTTTTTGAGTTGTGTTAATTCCACAAATGAACGTAACATTTTTATTTATATAAGATACACACACATACATACATCCGCTATGCACATGGGTATTTGAAAATAAGAAGACATTATTATTACAAAGAGAGACAAACGATGCCTGTGTTATAGAGGCTGAAGCAATTAAAGAATCCTTTCTTTGACACCTAATTGCTCTTCTGCTTCATTCTCAGAATCAAAGGCTTTTTATTCCCCAGCGCCGTTTCGGCTT